AGGTAATTGTCATATGGGAAAGGAAGTTCATGCGTGAAAAGTCTGTTCTACTTTTATTCAGAAGTTAAAAACCTCCGATGTTCCTGGTCAAGGGGAGAGAGGTGAAGGGACAGGGGACAAGCAATAGGCTTTGAAATCTTTCTCTAACACAACACTCAGCTGCCAGTGTACAATACCTCTCCACATTCAAGTCACAGAGCTGGTAGAACATCTGTCGATATGGGGGTAAAGCTCCTTCTCGGAAAACGTAGATGGATTCCTAAAAGAAAGAAAGAAGAAAAGGATTCATGTGCATTTTATGGTGTAACAGGACAGCTCTGGGGTAACAGAAAGGTCTTCTGATGGGCTGATTCAAGAACAAGGTACTTCCAACACAAATCAGTTCTAAGGAATGTCTGCATGTGGCAAAAGATAAAGCTGGATGAGGAATGCCCCAAAATTTCCCTGCAGTCATAGAAACAACAGCACTGCTGTGCAGAGAACACACTTCATTCACCTCTTCAACCTGCAGCTCTGCCTGCAGCCTGTCACTGCATAACACTGCATTGTGGCTTTCATTCTAGCAAAAATGGAAGAGTAAGACTCATTTATCTATTCCACCCTGCTGGATTTCACAGCATGACCCGATAAAAGACACGGTGATTTTTTGCATTTCACCACCCATGAAGTTCCAGTTTTATCAATTGAAGCCAAATGCTCATCACACCTCACACCAGGGCTGAGAGCACCAATCCTACCTTGCAGCATGTAAGAAATACACTCAGTGCACAGCAGGTGAAGTCCTGGAGTGCCAGGTACAAATAGCAGCTTCCCAGGCAAACCTGAGGACATCAGCTCGCTCACAGCTGTCCCCCTGATGACTGATAAACCAGGACACACTCCTATTTCACTGAGCTACTTCAAGACTAAATAAGAGTCATGCTTACCTTCAGTTTATACCTGCTGGAGGGGGGCTTTTTTGCCCCAGATGCACCAGCTGTACCCAGCCCCTGTTTGAGGTCGTGGACACTGACTGTGTGGCTGACTGAAAACAAAAACAAAGACAGTCCTATTAGAGACAACCTTGTACTGTCACTTCTCTCTGTTGATTCAACAAAACCAGACCAACCCAGCAATTATGGTTGCCTGAGTTTTGTTCATTCTTCAGAGATGTCACTGGGCAGTCAGAGGGAGGGTGCTGAGTTTGTTGTGTTTTTCCACAGCGTGTACTTGTTCATAATTTTAACCTTTTCTACTCTCCCTTGACGAAGAAAAGAGAACTTCCCCCTTCTCTGCACCATCATTGCTAATTCTGAGCACAGAACTCCCTCCTGCCTGCTAACAGACACTGTGGCTCAGCCAGACATGCTTCCAAGACTCCCACACCACTTCCCAGCAGGAGATTCTTCTCCTGGCTTAATGGCAGCACCGTACTATAACCAGAAAACAAGCTCCAGCTTTGGCTCAGCTAGAACAGAGAAGACCCTTCACCACCTGTGACCAGGGTGGGGTACACACAGACCCAGAAGACCAGGCAGCCCTTCTGCTGGCCCAACATACCTTGTTTCTTGACAGTGATGGGCAGGCTGTAGTTGTAGGTGCTGCGTTTTGCTTTCACGGGCATGTCATTAGGGGCATAACCTGGAGGTGAAAAAGGAAAACCAGTAATGAACTGAGGGCAAGCACCCTGCAGAATATCCTTGGCTCAGTAACACAAGGGCTGGACTGGTGTGGGAAAGGCAGGCTGGTCTTTGGGATATGCTGACTTTAGCAAGGTTGGGAGAAGAGATCAATAAAACCCTTTAACTTGGAAAGAAAATGTGACCTGATGTCAATGAGTGGATGCCAGCTCTGTCGTGGACTTATTAGATGGCAGAAACTCCTTTTCCTCAACTTGCCCTCTGCAAAATCAGAGCAGGGGTACCCCATGTCCAAGACCCAAAATCCTGCACGGCATGCTGAGGTCCTTAAGGAAAAGCTACTATGGAAGCACCAGAATTCCTGCTCAGTGCCTCCCTGAGCAAGGGGGAGGATGGTCTGCTACATCCATTTGGGTTTGGGACACATGAAGGAGGGAAGTCAGAGTCTGGAATGTGCCAAATGAGGAAAGACATATTGCATACTATGAAATAAAGTATTAAAGGAGTTTAGAGAGAACTACAGTAAGCAAGGAGCTCAAAAGGTGACATCAGAGCAGAAATATGGCAAAAGAGTTTGAAAAACACATAAAAAGAAAAGTACTACCAGGATTAACCAGAAAGCAGAGAGAGCAGCTCTGTGGGTTGGGCCCTTTTACCATATTTCATTCCACAGCGAATTCGGAAGTCCAGTACTTGATAAATCTTTGCTTCAGGGTGTTTTCTGGGGTCATACCCAAACCTAACCCACAAGCTTCTCCAGGGACCTGTCAACTGCATAAACACACATGGGGGAAGATGGTTACAGAAAAGCAGCACAGTGTTGCACTTTCTTCAGTACAGGGGTGCAAAGGTTCTTGAAAAGTTCTAATATTCCCCTCACTGCCCAAAGATTATTTCTTTTCCCAGCTCTTTCCTCAACTTGCCATGCCAGTATTTATTTATGCCCACTGGAACATGGGCAATCAGTGCATCAAAACACAAATATTTGTGTGCTTTTAAAAACTAACCTGCAAGGTCACAGTCAGGTGTTTCTGTGGAAAAAATTCTGCTACTGTTTCCAGGTGGACAATCAGCACTGACCTGTAAAGCTGATTAGAACCAGCAGAGCAAACAGGTACTGAGTCCTCCTTGGCTTTAACTTCTGTTCCAAGGCAAGGCTTTCCTTCCCTCTTGTCTCTTTACATAATATTAAGCTCAGGTACTTAGTGGTAGGACCTCAGAGGTGGTGAAGGACCAGGAACACCCAGCTGCTGCTCCCTTGCTCACAGGTGCACCACTCACCATGTAATAGGCCAGATATGGCAGCAGCAGCTTCAGCTTGTCCGGGTGGACACTGATGTTGGCTTTGACTGCATTCCGAGACCAGACAGGACGGACTTCAAAGAGCTAAAATGACACAGAAACAACCACAGAACAGTGGGAAGTGGGTCACCAATGGCAGAGCAGCTTTCCAAGAGGATTTAGTGCAGCATCAGGGCCTTTAGCCCCTCAATATGAGCTGTTGGAACAGCAATGTAAGAACCCATCGCACAAAAAGGAACTCGAGTTGGCTACAGATTCAAATCTTGATTTGCAGGACTGAACTCAACACAGCAGTGTCAGCAGCATCTACTGAAACCTGCTGTATCAGTCAGTGAAGATCACCAGGAATTTCTGGGGAATTCAGAGAAAATGCAGTTTTCCCTCCAGAGCTTGCTGCAGCAGAGTGCTCAGGTCAGGAATAAGGCACCCACCTTTCTCAGCTCCTCCTCCACCTTTTTATCCACAGGATTGGTGCACACTTTCTTCCAGGTCTGTACAGCAGCATCCAGTGGCTTAGCTGGGATTTCCTCTTCATCAAAGTTCACAAAGATGGCATTGTGTGGGCGACGGGCCCTGCTGAGGCCAATCAGGTTCTCAGCAGACACCTGGGGGTTGTTGTATCCCTCCCTAAGGAACAGAGAAAGGCAAAGAGGGACTCAGCCACATGAGCAATGGGCTGGTTTAACTTTGGCCCAAACTCCCTTATCACATACTGGTATCATGAAAGACTCTTATGACACCACTGAGGAAAGAACATTTAAATATAAAAAACCCTTCCAAGCTGCATTCAGTGGCACACTGACAGAGGTGCTCCACCCTGGCTGGCAGAAAAACCTCAGGCACCTGGTCCTGATCTGTATGAAATGTATTTGAGCATTGAAGGCTTCACCTTCTGCATCTGTCCTTCTGTAGCTACTGCATCTACTCAGTGGTATAGGGACAAAGCAAGAGGGAAATGCAGGTTCCAGTTCAATCTAGAAATTCCTTTTCCTTTAAAAAGTGCTGATGAAGGTCAACAGTGAGAAAGTGAAAGATGTTTCTTGTGGGAGATCTCACAGATTGTTCTTCTGCAAAAGCCAACGGGGGCCAGGCAGGCACAGGCCACAGGAGCACATGGCATTGTCTCCTGCAAACCCTGCCCTTGGGTCCAGCCCACTGGAAAGAGGCAGGAAGGTGTCCCTGCATCCCACACTGTGTGAGATGTGCTGGGAGAGCACCAGTCACCTTCACCACAACACCACACCCCCTCACCTGGCAAACCCTCTCCTGCTGAGGTTGCCACTGCCAGACAGTTTCTGTTTGTTTTGGGGGGTTTTTTGCCTCTGCTGTGTCAAATCAAGGGGGATAAAACAGAACAAGGCAGCAGCTTAAACAGGTGAAATCCACGAATGATGTAAAGGCACTGACCTGTGCTGAATATCTGGACGATAAAAATAGTCAATGGGAGTGTCCAGACGTGAGAAAATTGGTGGTGGGATGTAAAGAGGTAATTCCCTGTTGAAGAACTCTTCCTTCTCTGGTTTGAGCATCAGGACTTTGTCATACATGGAGGTTTGTTTGCCATCAGGGCCAGAGTGCATTGCCAGGTACTGGAAATCAGACATTCCTGGGAGAAACAGAAGTTAAAACACTGTGAAGTTCATTAATTATATTAACATTTATATTATTACAATACATCATAATATAATAAGTTATATATAATATAATGATATATTATATCCATTATATAATATATTAGATATAATTATATGATATATACTTTATATACTAGTTACACAATATACTATAATATTACAATAGAATATATAATAATATATCATAATACATTATTATATGTATATTTATAATATATATGTATAGTATAATATTATAATATATTATATTATAATTGTATATTATTTATATGAGAATATTTAACAATATTTCTCACACTAAAGTTTCAGGATCAAGAGTCTGCTAGGTTTATGTAAAGGTTTGTACAGTAAGGACACTTGATTTGCCTTCCAGTTCTGAGTTGTTTAAAGGGAAACACTTCCCTTTCCCATCAAATATCCTCATCTCTAAGCCACATGGACACAAACCCAAGCACTTTACCTTGAAATTTGTAAACAGTGGTGACAATCCCAAGGATCTCCATCTCAAATTGGACTTCTGGCTGGACTTGTTCCTCGGTGTCTAGCTGCTTCTTCCTCCTGCTCCTCCTCCTGACCCTGAGCAGCATGGTGGAGGTGGGGAAGCGGTTGGCACACACAGGGTGGCAATAGGGGTCCTTGGGGCGAAAATACAGCTCCAGCCTCTTGGCAGGGTCGGCGTAGATCTGTCAGCAAGGGCAGGCACAGCCCCGTGAGCATCCCACCCACACAGCCCCTCTGCCCCTGTGCCAGCCCCAGCCCCACACACTGCCACCCCTGCCCGGCCAACACGTGGGATGTGCAGCTGCTCCCATCCCAGGTATTAGGAAGAAATAAATAAATGAGAAAAATAATATCCTGAATATTAGGAGGAAATCCTTCCCTGTGAGGGTGGTGAGGTTCTGGCATAGGTTGCTCAGAGAAGCTGGGCCCCCTCCCTGGAAGTGTCCAAGACCAGGCTGGATGGGGCTTGGAGCAACCTGGGATAGTGGAAGGTGTCCCTGCCCATGGCAGGGGCGTGGAACGAGATGGGCCTTAAGGTCCTTCCAACCCAAACCATTCTAGGGTTTTACGACCCCGCCCGACACCCCTCAAATCCCTGCTCGGGGGCAGCATGCCCGGAGCCTGCTGGCTTTGAAGGGCTCGCACCGAGGGTCCCACCGCGGGGCTCTCCCTGTCCCCGACCCCCTCCGGCCTCACCCACCTCCCCAGGGCCAGGCCCGGGCTGCCCGCACACCCCTGCCCAGCGAGCCCCCACCCGCCCCACAGCCCCGCTCACCCGCGACACGCCCTGCTCTCCTCCCAGCGTGCTCAGCATGGCCCCGACGTCCCGCACCAGCCCCGGGTACTCCACACAGACGAGGCGCGGGGCCCGGGGCAGCTCCAGCACGGCCGAGCCCCGCGGGCCCCGCTGCGGCCCCGCCGCCATGGCCGCGCCGCCGCTCCCCGTCCCCCGCACCGCGGCACGAAGGTTCCGCCGCACGAAGGTTCCTACGGGCCCGCGTGTGGGCGAAGGGCGGGCCCTGAGGGCGGCCATGAACTCCTTCGAGCTCGTGGCCCTAAACCCGTGCAAAATCACCGCCCCCGTGGGTTGTTTTGTCCCCTGTCCTGCTCGTGGTTAAAAGAAAATGAAGGAAAACAACCCCGGGGCCGAGAACCCTCGGTACTAAGCGCACGCTCATACGCAGCTCATACAACCACTGTTTCACTCGTGCTGCATTAAAGTTATGCCAATGACTGCTGGAGAATATCTTGGAGTCATGAGTTTCGAAGTCATGCAAGGAATCTGGTGTAAAATAAGCCTTTGGTTCCTAAGAACTTAAGCCTTCATCCTGCCAGTGTTTGATGGCGCAAGAGGTGGAGGGTATGAGGGTTAAGCTGAGAGTTTAATTTGCCCCAAGAGCTGCTTGCCCAGGACATGGCTGTGTCACGGGTCAGGGGACTCGCTGACCACACACGTCCCTTCCTTCCTGGCCTTAAGGTTAGTGACAAAATCCTGTCACGGCAAACACAAGGAGAACCAGAGTCACTCAGTTACAAGCAAGCTTTTAATGAACTATCTTTAAAAGGTGTTTTTTCTTAAGTTCAGAACATCAACCCTGACTGGGTGATGTTGGCAACCTGGGGCAGGCTCCGATAGACCGAGTTCCAGAAGGTTACAAACCGGGATCTCAGGTCCTGCTTCACAGAGTTCTTGTTTATATTGTTGTTGATTTCCAGGTAGTAAGTGCCCTTGCTGCTGTAGGCTGGCCAGGAAACAGGCACATCTGAATTCCCCTTGTTGGGATCACTGGGAAAAAAGAGACACACACAAGTTCAGTTTTATCATGGAAGCTTGTGGATAAAGCTTTAAGCGAGTGCACACAGAGTGTTTGACACTGGGACAAGCAATAGGAATTCTGCCTGCCGGGAGCAACTTGCCAACCTGCAGTCTCTTCCATCAGTCCCCACTGGCATCATCCCTGGCTACATGCAGGGACTTAATTCCTGTATGAACACCACGATTAAGGAAGGAA